GCTCTCCAGGTCCTTCCATTGCATGTGGTGGGGGAATAATATCTTCATCTGAATCCCATACATCCATTCCAAGGTTACTAAGAAGAATAAAAACATCTCACATAAGCTTCCTTTTTTAGAACATACTATTGAGAGAGAAAAACAACATGTAAAATTCTTCAGTTTAGAATGACAGAAATTTTTTTATGTTAAGTTAAATTTACAGACATTTGTAACTTAGCAAATTTTAGTCTTGTAAATTTATTTGGGGAAGGGCTGCAGGGAAAGCAAAGAGAATACCTGAACTTAATAAGCTTGGAACAACATCCTAAAGGGTGTGAGTCAAGCACCATACCTATTAAAAAACCTGACAAGGGACTAACTTAATCATGCAGAGACTATAAAACAATGACAGCAGTAAAGCAAATGGCATTCAATTAAACTAAAAAGTCACAAATCAGTCGGGTAGTATTTTAAAATCAATTTACTCCTATAAGATATCACTGGCAGAAATAACTTAGGAAGATGTAAAGGTTAGCTATTCTTAGGTGAATACGATAAGCACAAAATTCTTACACACCAACATGCCAGGGATACAACTACTATGAACAGAGGAGTTGAGAATCTTCCACTTTCCCATACTCTTTTATTCCTAAAACTGTTGTGCTTTTTTTTTTTTTTTTTTTTAATATCCGGTTCTACCATTCCAACAACAGCAGGCAGATCATAGACCTTATAAAGAAAACTTTGCAGTGGCTCCTTTCAGCTTATAATGAGAGAATAGTGACTCAATATACTTGTCATAGTATGAAAAAACCCACACCAATGTTCAGTAGTAGTCATTAGAATAAAAAAAATCTTTTGAACCATATAAATTCGAAAGATGAACCAAGGAAGTACACTGCACTTCATGTTATTTATATCAGAAGTCTTAACAATATATGTGTAGTTACATATTAAAGGTTTAAGAATCACAGAATAGTTTGGGTTGGAAGGGACCTTTACAGGTCATCTAGTCCAACACCTCTGCAATGAACAGGGACATCTTCAGCTAGATCAGGTTGCTCAGAGCCCCATCCAACCTGGGATGAGGCTCTGGAAGTTCACTGGAAGTAAACTTTTCAAAATACCAGCAGACATGCTGGAAAATATTAAGTATACAACTAAAAGCTTTTGCTTACCTTCTCATTGGTTGTGTTCTGAGATCTGTGAGGTACACAAGACCATCCATACGATGACCTCTAGCATCACCAAAAGCTAAAGAAATAAAGATACAAGTCCAATGAAATGTGCTAAGACTGAGCCAAAAAATATGAAAGGCAAGTTTCTGTTCACCATGAGATGCTGAATTTGAAACAATTCTAACTTGATATTAAATACTTCAGGAAGCTGGCAATATTGCAACATTTTTTTTTAAACAACTGAAACTAGTAGTGGTAGCAACCAATTCAGTGGTATGACTGAAAAGCCTTCAAAGCAAAAGAATTAAGAAAAAGATTTTAAGCAGCTGAAACATACTCCTACTACGCTGTCAATTTACTAATGCTCAAGCCTTCCCTGGAATAGAATCAACAGTTAGAGAAAATCTTCTATGGAAGCCAGCACATGAAATAACTCTACGGATTCTAAAATAGAATTGCAGTATTTGTGAATAGTAATTGTGAGTTACAACCTGAAACGTGCCCTAGCTGACACTATATAAATACCTTGGATTGCTGCCTCTGGATCCCAGCCTTCAACATCTATAAGATATCTGAAGAAAAATATGATTAGATTATTGTCCCAAAGGGATTACAGATTAATATAAAGACACTATCTTTCGTGAACAATGATTTCTGTTTTTATACAACCCTTACCTACATATAAGGTAGCCAGTTCTATTAATTCCATTAGTACAGTGAACGCCAATGAGTTTCTCTATCAAAAAGGAAAACACAGTCTTTAGTAAAACTACTAAAAAATCAGTGCAAGACAAAAAAACCCACGCTGTACTTTTCTAGCAAAGTAATAATAAATAATACTTGCTATTTACAAAATTAACTGTCAGGCCTGTAAAAGAACAGACACATCCAGACTTTGTCCTCTTCATGCTGGATCACTACTTCCAAACCTGTGAAGACTGATATTACCTCTGCAGAACATAGGAAATAAGAAAGAGGATTGATGACAGGTAAAGTGGCTGGCCTCAGCTAGAGCTACAGTAACAGGAGAAGAATAAAAAAATATGGTTTTGAAAGCAAATCGAAAAAAGAAAATGTAAACTTGAGGAACTTGACTTACACATTCTTGTAAACCTTACAAAAAGGAGAAAATACACATAATGCCCCCAGTACCTAGGGGTATGAAATACATTACTGGAAGAATTCATTTAGCTTGACCAAAAATTTGGATCATTACTGGGATGACCCATAGACATAAGAAATTTGGGTTCATGCATGGAGAAAAGAAGCACTGTAATGGGAACCAGTAATCTCTTAAAGAAATCTTGCCTTTTTCAGAAAGGTTATACTAATCAGCTAAAGACTAAAAAGCAGAATAACTTGCTATTATTAGGGTGTTTCAAATGAGGTATTTCCAATAGAAATAGCAAAACACTAATATGACCACAAGGCACTGATAAAACCTCATCCAGACTATCCCATACAATACTAATTATCCATATTTAATGAAAAAAAAAAATCAAACTGAAGTATGTATAGAGAAGGCTACCATGATAGCCACAAAAAAGTTTATGAGAAGGTACCTAGGAAGCTTGTCTTATTCAGTCTGTAAAATCAAATCTGAGATACTGAATATAATAACGGGGATGGAGAACAACAGTATTTAAGGGCAAAGTTGACGTAAGAACTCATTGAGAGCTTTACGATAGATTTTAGAAGAAAAACTTTAATCAGAAGAACAAAGCTGTGGCAGAGACAAAGTACTGACAAATGGTCTTTGAAATGGGGCTTCAAGATATTGTAACTGTTTGCCACAGAACAGTCACATTGCCATGTAAGTTTATTATAAGCTGGTGTCCTAACAATTCAGACGCTAAAAACCCACAACTTCTCAAAAATTATTTGTAAGAAGAATCCTGAGAAATTTCAGGGGTAATCTAAAACAGAGGGCAAGTTACAATGAGTAAGTTAACATAAAAATGAAAGTTTTATAAGGTTTTTTTTAATAAAAAACTCTCAAGTTACATAAACCCTGCCAAAACGGTCCTACTAGCTGAAACTGCAGGTCTTCATCCAGTAACAAATTAGGAATTGATTCTCTCAATTCTGAGAATCAGAAATAATTAGATTCGAATATAGATTATGTCACATGAAAAATCAGTAGATCAAAACCAGAAGAAAACGAGTAATTTCCAAGTAATTTCCCTAAGCCAAAAAAGAGCAAAGGAAGAACTTACACACTAACTTCCTGAGCAAGGACAAAGGCTGCTTCTTGTAACTTTCAATTTTCCCAGCACTTCTAATTCAGGCTCTCATGCCTGAGATTTAAGGCAGAGTTCTTTACAAAACAGAGTTGACCATCGACAGCAAAACCAGAGTTATGCTCTGCAGCAAAAACTGTATGGAGTTGGGCAGTTAATATCCCTACTTTCTCACAGAAAATGCCCAAGTAACCATAGGAAATAGCATGAAAAAGCTTGAAAGAATGGTCCCCCAGTATTGGGTAGACAAACAGTTAAAATCTGCCTATAACAAATCACTAGCAAAAAAGCAAGAAGGTAAAAGCTGCAAACAGGCTGTGGCAAAATATATGCAAATTTATTTCTGCAAAAAGCACCTTCTAGCATCTCAACAAGAACTGTACTATTGCATAAACACTAAAACAGCAGCAGATCCACAATGTGGAAACATTGACACTGTGTCTGTAATATTATTTTAAAGAATTGCTAGGATATGAGGGCAATAATGGACTCATAAATCAAAAAACTGCTACATCAGACTAAATGGACTTAAGTTGCTCACATATATCAGTGCCTAGTGCCATCACAGAAACCCTGTGCTATTTAGAACATCCATAAAGGGCTGGCAGCTACCACACAAAGCTGATGGTAGAGAACTTGGAGCAGACAGATGACAGCCTTGTTGCAGTTGCTTTGACACATAGCTCAAATGTAATACCACTAGGAAGGGCATTTAAGTTACTAGTCATTTTTGAAAAAGATGTGTTTTAAATGCAAAAAGATACATAGTCATTCACATAATGTGTCTTATTATGATAGTAAAGTGGAAAGTACTATAGAAAGTCTGAGATCCCTGGTGTCTTAAATATCTATTGAAATTAATAACTAATACAGTTAGCACTGAAATAAAATTTCCGGTCTTTTACAGTATAAGATGCTAATATTTACCATTTCCTGCATTTTCCCATAGGAATTTTCTGACCCATTTTTTGAACTGTAGGATAGTAGCATTATCCGGGACTTCAAGTCCAACAGTATAGAGTTTCTTATACTGCACACTTTTAGGTAAATCCTAGCAACAAGAAAAAAAAAAAGGTAAAAAATATTGCAGTTTTGCATAAATGAAAAACCTTAAGCAGTATCTAACATAATGCCAATGTAAAACAGTAGGTCAAATCCTGAGTAGAAAATAAAAACAATCTTGACACAATTCTATAGAGACACACTCAGAAACTACCATTTACATTTCCACTTTAAAGACTTGATCTCAAAAACCAGTTTCTACAGAAGACTTATTTATCCTTGCTCATAAGGCATCGCATTAACTACAGACAGCAGATTCTTGTAATCCCATTCTAACCCATTTTACAATTATTAGCAATATTTGTTCCTCCCACCCACAATCACATATATACTCACATATTCACCCCTTCAATGCTTACAGCCCATGTAGATTCAAAGATTAACATTCAGTTATAATACTGCTGTTTATTCTCCTTTTCAATAAGATGTTAATTAATCACAATTGTTTGGACCATAGTGGTAGAAAATTTGAAATAATAAAGTAGTTAAAAAATGTACCCTTTCTTAGTGGATTCCACTGAAGATCAGTAAAAAAAGACCCTAGGAATAAACGAGAATGTCTTCAGGGCACAGACTGTAAATCTTCTGCATCTTTTCTGTGGTGCCTGGCACTGAAGTCTTTATCCATTACTGTGAGTTACCATAAGACAAATAAGCCACAAATGCAACTAGCTGGGAGAAGGAGTTATTTCCTCTGTGATAAAGCATTTAGTTTCTATTGGAGACACAAAATAAGTCCAGATGGCTCACTTGTCCATTCCAATTCAAGGTAAGCAAATGTGTAAGTAATTTAAAACAAAGGCTGCAGTAACTATTTTATTTTGGTTTTATGCTTATATTACCTTAACTTCATAGTATCGTGTGGTATATGTTAAATCAATAATTAATCCAAGCTCCACATTTAGGGTTTTCATTGCAGCAATTAAGTCTTTTGGTGTAAATTTCTGTGTTGGGGTAAGCCTCTGGTTAATTGCCTACAATAAAAATGGAAAATAAAGACTTTTCTTTTAAAGTTCTAATAACAAGACATTTGTAATATTCAGCTGTTTCAATTAGGACTAGGAAACATCGGTATTCAAAATGGAATGTTTACAGTATCAGAATCATATCCATGTATTATACGGATAAAAAATTAAAAGGAACCAAATAAAAAGAAAGCAAGTTCGCTGTGTATTTCTATTCAGACGAACACGCAAGAAAACATGAGAGTTTCCACTTGTACAATGTTAACAAACATTATTAAAATAAGCACTAATTTGACAGACAAAAATCATGCAAAAATACAGCATGTATATACTGATTTTTAAGTAACTAAATATCAGCAAAAAGCAAAATATCACAATCCCCTTTTCCCCAAACATACTTCATTCTGCACCGTAACACAAATTAACAGTGTATTTCACATAAAACATTAGAAGTTGTGATACAAGAGTTCATTTCTTCTAAAGGTATTAACTTTCTCCCCACAAATGTTGTGCAGACATTTTTATCCCTGCTTCATCTCTTAGGACAGTGTACTTGCCTGTCATTTTGCACTGGGAAATATGAAATAAGACTAAAATATGGTCACTAAGAAAGCTGCATGTTGGTAGGTAATGAATAATGCATTTAATTTGACAGAAAAAGTGGGAAAAATGTTTACTCACCCTACTGTAACATATTTTTTGAAATGTGTTCTTCACTCTAGGTATGAAAATGCTTCATATACGCAAGACTGGATTTTTTCTGAACAGTGCGCTTTTCCATTGTGACAGCCTTTTGACACAGGCTCAGCCACAACCAATAAAGACAGTGGCAAAAGATGCAGCAGCCTCAACCACTTCTCAGTTCCTTTGTCAACAAGAAATTCAAGCAGACTGGGCTCAGAACTAATGGAAAGGAAGGCAGCCACAGACCATATGCCTCTTACCGCATACCACAGATGCTAAAGGGTAACTAACCATACCTTCTTTTGATTGTGCAGATTATAATCTAAAATGCTAGCAAGCAATTATCTCGAGTCTGGAAACAGAGACAGGAAACCAAATTAAAGAATAAACAGCAGGACAATCCTATGAAAGCTGGCATGTGACTAGAAAGGTTGAGCTAAAAAGAGTAGGGTAGAAAGCACACAGAAGTATTCAGTTCTGTGTATTTCAGATACTGGTGCACTGCTGAAAAAACAGTGGACATTGCTGAGGTTCAAACAAAATGAACAAAAGTCAGTTATCCCACCGCTATTCAGCAGCGATTTTTAGTAAAATCTGAAACGGAACTTACTAACTTTGAGGTGACAATGGTGATCTGCAAAAGGTCTGTGGTAGAATATTAAAGAATTTTTTCTTTTACTATGTGAAGTCACACAAACTGAGGTGGAATACTATTTAGAAGAATAAGATCTCTCTTAAGCATATTGCTTGATAAACAGTTAAATGTGTTATAAAAGACTATGTTTTAAAAGCTATTTGTAATTTTCTGAAAAGCTCCTGCTGAGTATTCAGTAGTTTAGGTCTCTAATTGGGCTTTGAGAATGTGAAAAATCTGTATCAATTCTAAAATCCCTCAAATGGCATGGGAAAGAACTTGCCAAGTCCTTACTACAGTACAATGTTACTGTTAGCATTACAATGACAATCTGAAAGGAAGGACAGAAAATCCTTCCAAGTAAACCCATGACCTTTACTAACAGCACATCTTTTGCTAAAACAATAATCCTTGAATCTTGAAATACTGCAAATATGCTTTCTCCCTTTGGGTCAAATCGCCAGTCATCAACTTCCTAATAGGTAGCAAAGAAGGAAACTGCTGCATTCCACCAATTTAATAACAGGACTTAGACTACAACTAATCAGGTCTTCAGCATTTCCAGACAGATTTACTGACCTCCACCATCTTTGCAAAGACATTCACAGTTTAGCCAGTTGCACATTTTATGTTTATTCTGCCACAAACTCCTTAAGCTTCAAGCACACAGTCTCTGGCAGACTTATCATTTCTGCATCTTGCATAGCTAAGACTGAACAAACTGAAGGGACAGAAATGTTACAGATTTTGCTTTCTTGGGTATCAGACCTTACATCTGGCCGAGTTCAAAGACCACTTCAGAGAAGAGAGATCTATGCCCCAGCGAGATCAGTAGGACTGGAAGTGAGCAACGCATTGAAGTAGAGTGTCTACTTGCAATACATTGCTATAAACATTCTTGGAGGATGTCTGCCCTTTTTATGACCTCTGGTGGAGCT